GTGGGACATTCTTTCTGCCTTCTGCAGTCAAATGAATGTCAAGTACGTACTGGAATAGGGCTCCAAGAACTGGCATCTAGTTCTGTTCACTTTGGTCATGTGACACCCCCTAAACTTTAATTTACTTTGTAAAATACTTCCTTTCCCTGTCTTACAGGATTGCTGTGGTGATAAAAACATTAGATGTTTACAAACAGACACATACTTCTAAATACCTTCAAAGATAAGAAACACAATTTTAAAAAATATTTTTATTTTTGAGAGAGAGAGAGAGAGAGCGCTCCAGCACAAGTGGAGGAGGGGCAGAGGAGGGGGGATGGAGGATCTGAAGCTGGCTCAGCGCTGACAGCACAGAGCCTGATGCAGGACCCAAACTCATGAACCATGAGATCCTGACCTGAGCTGAAGTCAGACACTTAAGCAACTGAGCCACCCGGGGGCTCCAAGAAGTACAGTTTTTATGTTATAAAGTTAATTACTTTGGAGACACTCCAGCCCAAATAACCTTCAAATTGAATTAGATAAACTATTAAAAATGAAAATAACTAAGAGGCTACCCAGAATAAAATTTCTCTCAAATGATGAGAAACCAAAATTATCTGTGAAATTTTGACAACAATGAAAAGAAAGAAAAAGTTTGCTACTTACTAAAATACTTTTGTAACTTGATGTACAGAATGAAGTGAGGATACTTACATTGGTGAGCATGTGAGACATTTGGAGCCTGCATTTACTATTTGTTGATTAGAATATGAAAAACTTAAAGAAAAAGACATTTTTTTTCAAAATTAGGATATCTTTGAATTATTTATATACACTACAGAATTACATGGATTTTGAAAGATGACATTTAAAATATTTTGGTACAGTAAAAAATTATTCAATCTTTTTATGGGAAATATCTTATGTCTTTTAGCCTATAGCTTGGTTTATGATTTAATATAAAGCTAAAGTCTTCTCCTTTATGATAAGTTTCAATGGCTTTTTTTATGTTTTGTAAAAAAAGCCAACCAGGAATACAAAATGTTTTAAATAATGGTTAATTATTAATTATATTATGACATAGAAGTTATAAAACAAGAAAAGCAAGTTGAATGGGTAGACTCAAAGAAAAAAATCTTGTTTTGATTTCTGAATATTTAGCGTTCTATAAATGTTATTTTTCTTATTCAGATTCACATGTGCAAAATATGTATGTTTCTTTAGTTTTTATAATTCCATCTTTTCACTGAAGTTTAAAACAATGTGCACTTGTTACATATATAAATGTATAACTTTTGAAACAAATTTTTCAAAGAAATGGTGCTGTGATATTAGAAAATTATATTAAATCTTCTTGCTATTATATTTTGAGGTATGCTTTACAAGAAAATTTATCAAAGCACATTTTCTGAATCCTATGCTAAGTGAAGAAATAGGTTAGGGAGAAAAGCAATGTGGTCTCACAATTGTGTTACCAGAGCCACAAAATCTCCTAGGTAGAAGACATTTACCAGGTTTCTGGATAGAAATTCACATAGTTCAAAAAATATTTCATTGTAGATTACAACCCAAGCCATTGGACAGAATGTGGAAATAGCAATATAATGCTTTCTTTATTTAGATTTAAGCTGCCAGGGCTTATGTTATATCATTTTTGTCTCTTGGCTAGAATAGAAAAGAGATAATTTAGCATAATCTAATGCCTGACAAATGATACAATGACACTTGAGATTTTCTCACTTAGATTTTCTCACCATAATTTAGTAAAACCAAAACTTACTTAACATCCCTTCTAGGGAAAGTGACTCAGTTTCTGAATGTCACAGTTGCAAATGAATCTGCTTTCTGCCTATGGGAATACTGATGATGGGAGAGGAAATGTAATAAATCAGATTCATGAAAGCACTGAGAATTCTAACTGGACAGCATTAGTGTATAAAACTCTTATGGAGACCCAAATACAGGCTGTCTCAGACAGCATCAAAATCCTACAGTAACTGAATTTGCTAATTTCTTCTCAGGTCTATGTACAATCAGTATTCAATGGAATATCTTGAAAATATCATAAAATAATATAGTCTCCTTGATAAGTAGTTATGTATATTATCTGAGGGAAGGCTTACCACCAACCCCCACTTCTCCGTTCCAACAAGATTTAGTATCAAATTCTTTTATTACCTATTTCCTGTTTTAGTTGTGATGAATAATTCACAAAATCTGATGCAAGGACTTTATCTTGAGAAATAATCGTATCTTCAGTGTATAAAAATCCATATAAATTCATGTGCATATATAATACTTTTGTAATTCATAGTAATAAAGCTTATCATTTCTAGACACAAAGCTTAGCACTTAGGTGGCATAAACATGGATAATCTGTAAGAATAATGAATAGCGAGTAAAGTTAAATGGGAATGGAAATTGGAAAAATCTCTATGGTATTGTTACTCAGAAAAGATACTTTAAAATAGAGAAAATAGAATTCATTATATTAATCGATAGTTCATATCTAAAGTTTGTATCTCTGTGTTATTTTTATGACAAGCTTTATGGTCTATTAACTGTATTTTGGATTCTGACATAAAGATAAATTTCCAAAGATGGTCTTCTTTTACTTTGAAATATCTAGATATAGCAAAACCACACAAAGAAGAACTGGGAGATATACCAGTTATTGATACCAGTTATTAAACCAACAACTGTCTAGAACCACTTGAAACTGAAGCAACACAAGGACTTAAGATTCCATTTCGATCACCTGTTGTTACGGTTATTGCTGTTGTTTAAAGGCATATATGAGGGGATGAAAAATCAAGGGATTTTAGTCTGAAAGATAAAAATTTGCCAGGTTTAGGAGAACAGTGGTCAAGTATCATAGGCTATAGTAACATAATTTAAGATGGTTATTTAGATGAGGAAGCAGGGTAATTGCTATTTCAATAATGGAAAGAAGTTCCATGGAATCAGCTGTGATTGAATATGTGGAATGCCTTTCCAAGTGGTTTTAAGAGTGAAAGGATCACCCAGTGAATGGTGGGTGATCCTTGGAAAGATTTCTTTATTACATCTAAATATAATATTAAATAAATATTAAATAAATAAACCTTTCCAGAATATATTTAATTACAGTATATAAGTCATACTTACCATGTACCAGGCAATGTAGAAGGATCTTTACCAGGCATAATCCTTTCAAGTCTTTTAAAAAATTCTACATGATAAATACTATTTACCATCTGCATTTTAGAGGATGAAATTTATATTTAGAGACTGAAGTAACTTGACCAAGGTTATAGAGTTAAAAAAGCAATGGAATTGGTTCTGCAGAAGAAAAAAAAATGAGATAATATAGAAGAGGTTTTTTGCATTAAATAAAAAATAAAAATAGATGTTTTCTAACTCCCAGATAGATACTCTCAGATTCTGTTTGTGGCAGAAGCCACTTTTTCCAAGTGTTTAAATGGATGCAGGCAAGAGAAAATCCTGCTTATTGAGTTTATTAGCTCTATTTTTTTGTCTGTCTTCCACAATATCTATAAAAATAGATATAATGTAAATAGCAACTTAGACTGATCACTTTGGACAGTATGATAAGAATACTTGCAATTCCAAAACAAATTCATTTTCAGACACCTTTTTCTTTTTTTCTTTAATCAAAGATTCTCACAATACCAACCTCTTGTGAGATGGATAATTATCCATAATTACAAATGCATTAATGATAAAGGGATGCACAACTGTTTGCTCTATCTTTCCCTGATATTTTTGCATGTCACTTGCTTTCCTAAAATGGAAGCAAAACAAATTTGCTTCTCTTGGTATGCTTATCACCTTCAAATCTGTAACCATTTCTTTGCAGTGATCACTCCGTTTAGGTGTTAAGTCAAACAATGGAAACTTTGAGTTTAACCTGAGTGAGATTTTCACATTGGAAAGAATCTCATGAGGAATTCTTTTAGGTCACTGCCAAATTACAAAATGTAATTTGAAGAGTAAGTGGAGCAAAATTATAGTGTACTGCTATTTTAATGCCCTTCCCTATTTGCTCCCCCTCATCATCCCTTATTCCTCTAGGTTATTTTCCCCCTTAAGAATGACCTATCTCTCCTTCTGACTTTTCAGTAGGAACACGTGAGTAACCAAGTATGGTTAAAGAGAGAGATTTTACTTTCTTGCTTCGCCTTTTCCCATTTTGCCCCTCCCTGTGTACCCTCTGTCCCGGCTTATGGGTTTTAAGTTCTGGATGATAACTGGCAATAGGAGAGAAACCATCATAATTTCACCTTGAATTCCAGGTTTCTTTGGATTCATAGTCTCAGCAGTGTCAGCACTTAAATCATGTTGTTGATTTCATGTAGAACCATCCTGTTTTGAAAGCCAGTGTTTCTTACCATTATAAAGCAACCATGTGTATAAGAATAAGACAAGACTTCCTGTTTAGAAACATGCCCCTTTGATGGGAGTCAATGAAACCGAGCCAGCATATTTAGAAATATTCATTCTTGAACTGGCATTTTGCATCCGAATATTTATTCATATTTATAAATAAGAGTAAATGTGTTTTGTAAAAGAAACCCTTTCTTTTGAGGTTGCTGGCAGCTCAGCTTTTTTTTTTTCAAATATGGTATATGAAAGAATAAAAAAGAAACCAGTTTGCATGTTTCCCATATTAACACAATCTAGAATAATTTACAATACGAATAAGTAGGATTCTAGGAGATGAATGCAAATTAGACCTTTTAAATCAGAAACTAAATTAATCATTGAATTATAATTGCAAAGTAATATTATCATACATTAAGTAGTATTGAGTTAATTCAGTTGCATAGCAGAGAGGGCCCTGACTTGTGTTCTTCCCACTTCAATGTTTTAAAACACTAATGATCTTAAGACTGGCCTCTTAGCCAGTCAGTAAAAGGTCAGGCCATTGCTCTATCGCATGAGTAACCAAGTGTTTTCATTTATTTGCTGTTCTATTCCTATCTTCTTGTTTATCTTCATTTCATTTTTGTTTTCAGTTGACATGTGGTCAGTAGGGTGCATCATGGGAGAAATGATAAAAGGTGCAGTGCTCTTTCCTGGCACTGATCGTATCCTTCTTAGCAGCCAGTGGTCTCTATGGGTATCTTTCTCAATCAGTTCCCTTTGGTCTCAAACACAACACTGCTGATGGTATATATTCACTGCCTTTGGTCCTAAGAGACTCCAATGTCAAATATTTACCAGCTGGCATCATGGTAGAGTAACCTTGCCTCCTAGCTAGATCTTATGGGGATAATACAGTATCAAATATGAAACATTCAGCATGCTTTCAAAAGGTCTGCCTTAAAATTCAGTCCTATGAAACTTGTAACAGTGATATGCTCTTCTCTATTGTTTTTTTGTTGTAGATGTTTTAAAATTAAGTTATATTCATAGCTAGATAATAAGTGACAAAATATTTCAGCTTTAAGACTGGAGATTTATTCTTTTAAGAAATATTCACTTGACATGGAAATCTTTTTTTTTTTTTAATTTTTATGTTTATTTATTTTTGACAGAGAGAGACAGAGCACAAATGGGGGAAGGGGAGAGAGAGACAGAGATACAGAATCCCAAACAGGCTCCAGGCTCTGAGCTTTGACATGGAAATCTTTAATCAGTTAGATTTATTTTCACCCTCAAATACGATAGATTTATTTTAACATATATTCATGCATGCATATGAGTTTCGTTTTAAGATTAACCTCTTTCAAAATTTTTTCTGTCATTTACTTCATCTCTAGGAATAATAGATCCAATTCCTTGTTCTTATTTTGTCTACATTAACAAGTGCAAAAATTAAAACCTCATTAATTAATAATGATTATATAAAATATCTGAAGAAACAAATTTCTATCAATTGAATAAGTAAATCTTCTGTTAGGATACCAGAGGCTCTGCAGCATTAAATAGATACAGACAATGTGTTATTAGCATATGGGTGTATAATAATCTATTTCCTTAAGTTAAATATCTTCTTACACTCAAGTCACTTATAAAGATATTATGTCCTCATCAAACTGAGGATAAAACCTCTGCTTATATGACCATGATTCAAAAATCAAATCAAATCTATAATAATGGGGTTTTAATATATAATTAATAGAAACTTAGTTACTAATGCAGTGTATCGTAACGATATTATGATTAACTATTAGCTTTGGGGATTAATATATTACTTATATGGATATATGTAGTTTCATATATATATTCTCTGTATGTATTAAAATACCAGTTTGGGAAATGATTGTGTTAGGCACTCAATTAATTTTTTTCAGTGAAAGAACTAGCCTAAAATGTTTCATTCAGTAAGAAATAAAGCTACACTGTTTTTCTCCTATTCTTTTTTCTAGTCTTAAATATGACACACATTATTTTTAAAGTTTTTCTATCTATATTGCAGTTTTGTCTTCTACATATACATTTTATTAGATAACATCTATAAATTTGCCACATTCTTGTTTATGTAATTGCCGTTTAAAAATAAGTTGGCCTGATAAAAACTAAATTCCTTCAGATTTCTAAAAAAAAAAAAAAAAAAAAAAAACAGGGTTTCTTTAATTCCAAAGGATTTTAAACTTTACTTTGGCCTTTGGACATGAACATGAAACAGTTCTTAAGTTTTGGCTAATTTTAGGCATTTAATTAAAATGAACTCAATCTGTTGACTTTGTACTCTGCTTTTTCAGAAGTTCATTGTGGTAGAGTAATCAATGACTGAAACAAATATTTCCCACCTCTAAATTAAAATGATTGATTTTCATTACTTTCCTTACATTTTCTATTTAAAGATCAAATCAGATTTCCACAACTGAGTTATTAAGTACAGATTAACAGTTCTTAGAATCCATTTCTTGGGAGAAGTTGCTTGGATATCATTTCTAACTTGGGTATTAAGATCCCTTATAAGTTTTTCATTCTTTCTCATTGCCAAGTAGTATTCCATTGTGTATATAAACCAATTTGACAATAAATTTTATAATAAAAATATCCCTTATAAGTAAAGCTTTAGGCTGCTACTAATGTTAAAGTCTCATATGAGATGCCCTTTCAATGCCTGAGCTTGGTATTTTTATATTGAGTTATTTCTGGATTTCTTCTTATAGGGATAACATTCCTGAAGGATAAATGCTAATTATTTTCTAAAGTGGCCCCTCTGAGTGTAAGAGGTGGTCTTTTAATGATTTCAAACATGTTGGTTTAAGTTTAAATCAGTCTTTTTCAAGCAAACAAATTATGAACTGAATATCATAAACTCTTAAAATGCAAGACAAATTATTTTTTAAATTCTCTATTATTAGAAATAAGTTATCTGAAGAATAATAAAATTATGTCTAAGTTTATTAGCTAAATAGAACCTTTAAAATGGAGTTAGTAGTATACAATATGTATATTATACATCTATACAATCCATCATTAGAAGTCGTATTATTTTAATCAACATATCCTCACTTATGTGAAGGCATTCTCAAAATAAATGCTAAAAGTCCTTGTGATATGAGTCATACAAATCTTCTTCTTTTATAAATCAATTCAACAGCAAAACTTAAGATATTAATAAGGCCTTATACCCTTTACCTTTTATTTCTAAAAGAGTTCAACACATTTTTAGCATTGAGAAATTTAGATAGCTAAAAGCAGTTCTTTTTTTTTAATGTTTACTTTTGAGAGAGAGAGAGAGAGAGAGAGGCATGTGTGCTCACATGCAAGCGGGGGAGGGACAGAGAGGGGGACAGAGGATCTGAAGCAGGCTTTCTACTGACAGCACAGAGCCCCATATGGGGCTGGAACTCACTAATGGTGAGGTCATGACCTGATTTGAAGTAGGACACTTCACCGACTGAGTCACCCAGGCACCCCTAAAAGCAGTTCTTAAAATGTTGTATATTTACATGCCACTTAATTGTTAAATGTATTTTAATATATATTAATTGAATTTTATTCAAATCAAATGCTTTTAACTGTAGAAGAATCAGAACTCAACTACTGAGATGCTTCTGGGAAATCTAAAGAATTTCATCACAGCAAAAATATTTACTGTAAAAATTAAAAAAAATTTTATATTAAATGAGTGAATTAATATTAAATATATAGCTTTTGGATAAGATTAATAAAATGAACACATATATACTACCACTCAGATTAAAAAATAGAACTTTGAATGTCTTTGTGTGCTTCTCCCCTGTCATTTCCTCCTTTCTCCCTGGAGGTCATCACATCCTAAATATATGTTTTTACAGTCTTCTTGACTTTCCTTATATTTTTTACCACAGGTAAATTTATCCCTAAACAACATATGGTTTAGCTTTATGTGTTTTACATATGGCACAAGTCACATTATTTTTGCTACTTGTTTTTTTTGAAGTTAACATTGTAGTTTTGAGACTTTTTCATGTTAATTCATCAGTTCATTTTCATTGCTGTAAAGTAGTCCAGTCTCTGAATATATTCATAGCTTCATTGTTTATAAAAGTAAAAGCAAAAACAAAAACTGGATAATCCAAAGCCTATTTGTAGGAGAGTAAATTCACTGGACTACTTTTATTTTTATAGTTCATGCATTTTTAGGTCTTAAGAATCCTTTGATGCCTTTATATTCTCTTGTAACTTTACTATGAATGTTTTAAAGTTTAATCTTTTACATTTAAGCCTTTAGTTCACTTGGAATTTATTTTTGTGTATGATGTTAAAGAGAGATCTAATTTATTTTATTTCAGTTCCACTTATTGACTAGCTTATTCTTTCTTTACTTGTCTATAATGCTGTCTCTCTCAAATTTCCACATATTGAGGGAAGGGGTATTCTGGGATGCTGGGCTCTATATTCTGTTCACTGGACTGTTTGTCTATTTTGTATCACTATTACCCTTTCTTAATACAAATGTTTATTGTGTACTTATATCAGGTAAGGTAAACCTCACCTTTATTGTTTTCTTCAGAAGTATCTTAGCTATTAATGAATCATTGATTTCCCATAAACATTTTAGAATTGGCTTGCTAAGATGTCTATTGGTATTTATACTGAAACTGTGTTAAGTCTATAGATCAATATGTGGAGAATTGGCTATTTAATTTTTTTTAAATGTTTATTTATTTTTGAGACGGAGACAGAGCACTAGTGGGGGAGGCTCAGAGAGAGAGGGAGACACAGAATCTGAAACAGGCTCCAGGCTCTGAGTTGTCAGCACAGAGCCCAACGCGGGGCTCGAACCCACCAACTGTGAGATCATGACCTGAGCCGAAGTCGGCCGCTTAACCGACTGAGCCACCCAGGCGCCCCGAGAATTGGCTATTTTAATTTAGATGATTTTTTTTCTTTCTCCTGAACACTCAAGGATCTTAGCACAAACTAATTTAGATCATTACTGTACCAACTTAAATATATCCAGTGTTTACTTCTTTTTCTTTAGCCTCATACATTGACAATATTATAATATTATTGCACACAGAATTTGTTTAGATTCACCTTGATATGAAAGAATTCTATAATTTTCTTGGCTTACCACTACTTCTTGCAATTTGGCCCTTTATTTTAAGATTATTTTCCTTCTTTCAATATTAAAAATCAGCTTTGTTCTTCCACATCGACAACAATTTACATGAAAATAAAAATATGAATATAATGCCTGTTACAGTAATATTAAATCAAATAAAATACACCTCTGGTTTCCAGTTCCACATTTAAGAAGCTTGGAAGTAGTCACTTCATCCTAACAAGATGTAAAAAGGCTAAATAGATTGAAAATCATCCACACTCTTTGATCTGTAAGGGAGGGGAATACATAGAGAAAACTACTGCTCCCAACCGTTAGAGAAACGGGCTAATATAGGGTTTCATGTCAAGGGTAGAAAAATCTGAACTATAACTGACAAACTTCTAGAAACTCAGCGTGGACAACTCTCAGATTTAAAAACTCCAGGGAGAGTCAGTCGCATGGAACCACAACATTGTTAGATTTACCTCCAGGAACTTGATCAGGTTCCTACAGAAAATATGAGAGAAAGATCACCTCATTTTTCCTATAGTGGGGAGGGAAAAAGAATCAATTTTAAATACACAAGGACAATCT